TTTTATCAAAATTTTTTATTGAGCTCGAGGCCATTTTTTAGCTTTTCCACAATAAGTTTTCATTAAAAAACGGCCTCGAGCTCAATAAAAATTGTTGAATACAATTTTTATAAGGCCATAAAATAACAAAAGCAAATATTTTTTTTTATAAAAATATAGTTAATTCTTGAACAAAACCCGTGTAAACCAAAGTTTCAATATAAAAAAATTCAACAAACATTCGTAAAAATGTCGAGCTTTTTGAATTAGATTTTCTGAGTACGCAGTTTTGCAGCCCATTGAATTCTAGTACACCAAAGTACAAGTTTAAAATGGCTAAACAGCTACAGTCGATTTTTTAGATTTTTTTTTTGTCCAGGATGTTTCGGTTTTCTCCCATATAAAAATAAATTATGTATTATAGAAGCAAATGGGACAAAAACAATTCTAAAAAATCATTTGAAACGTATACTTTACTGTACTAGAATTGAATGGGCTACAAAAGTGCGTACCCAGAATCTTTCTAAGAAATCTAATTAAAAAAGCTCGAAATTTTTACGAAAATTTGTTGAATGTTTTTTTTTTTAATATTGCACAAAATTGGAAATTTGGATTTACACAGGTTTTGTTAAAGAATGAACTATATTTTTATATAAAAATTACTAAAATTAAATAAAAACAAAAATCATATGTTAAAACTTGTCAAAATGTGGATGGGCTATAAATTTTCGATCACTGAATTTATATACATATATATATATATATATGTATATATATGATTATTCCATTCTTGAACAAATCACATGCCAACATTCTATCGATCGTCCGGCATTAGACATACAAAAAATTATTTCCTCCTCAATTCAGTTTGGAAGAGGTTCCTCGCGGGCGAATACTTTCTTGTATGAAATCTAGATATTAAATGTATATATGCATATATGTACATACATACAAACATTTGTAGCCATATACATACGTGCATATAATTTCCTGCATTCTTTACTGATCTAAATTTAGCAATCGTGTAATTTTTCCAATACAATTTTTTTAACCTCCAATTTTAAGTGCAAATAATTAATAAGTGCACATAATGTGAATGCCAACAATTTGCTGACGACATTTTCATGATGCAACAAATGGTTTCCTTCAACTTGGAAAATGCCATTGTAATGCATGCCAGCACTTAAAATACCAAAATGTATGCACATTAGGGTGGTCAATAAAATATCAACAGCATGCGGCATCCATTTATTTTGTTCTAGGGTAAAAACTAAAGACAGCGACAAAAATTTAAAAATAAAAGAAACACATTTGTTTTTTTGTTTATCGCGAAATTTCAAAAAATTTTAACATTGACCAGATATAAATATTATTTTTTTTAATTTATATGAATAAGTTCCAATAATATGCCATATTTATCAGATTTCAAGTGAATTTAAAAAGAACTTGACTTATTCAAATCCTGGTAGCAACCCCTAAAATGTGTTGAAAAGGATTTGAAATTTTCGTGGGTAGCTTCATTTTGTACATAGAACGAAATAAAGGGGTGTCCCATACAAAAATTTAGATGTTTACATTTTTAAGGACCGCCCTAATGCACATACTTAGATACATATGCATGTATTTGCATATTTGTGTGTACTATGTATGTACGTGCGAGTATATTTTAATGCGATATGAATTCCATGTTAAATTGCTTACTGTGAAAAGGGGTGAATCAAAATAACCAATGCACAGAAAAATTGTCTCTAAATTTTTAACAACGCACTGCTGTCGAAAAAGAGAGTCGGAGATGTAAAAATTCCTAAAATTCCACTTCTGAAACGGAACTGTAACCATCAGGGCGATTTTGCCGACAGTTTAATTAGTTTTTACGACTTCATTTTTTTATTGAATTTTGATGAATGTTGGACTATTGCGTGGAGTGAATTATTGAGACGATAAGTTCCAACATACTTCCAGGTCATTGATTTCTAAAAAAAGGAACGTTTTAAAATTAAGGTAAATGCGACAGCAATATTTTTTATTGATTTTCAAAATGTGAACGAATCTTTTGTGCCACCCCTTCGAAGTGGGCGCACACTTTCACACATACATATGTATGTATATATGTATATTTATACTTTATTTGTACTTTTGGCACATCCTATTTACATATGTATTTCTGCCGAATGTTTACTGTCCAATATTCACACTTTGCATATTTTTGATTGCGATTTCCTCTCAACACCCCTAGATGGGGGAAAATAAAAGCATCGGCAACTTGTATATCGAAGCGCAAAATATTTTTAAAATCACAAGGCCTCAATTAAATCGCGAAATTGTAGTAATATACAGTACATATGTATATGTAAATATGTAGATACTTTTAAATATAAAAAATTTTTTGGATATGAGTGTATTCCCTGTAGGTAAAAGTGGTATTAGGATAACACCTAAGTACGAGTATTTCTTAAAATAAATGCGAAAATAAAAAACACAAAAATTTAAATATTTTTAATTTTTAACAGTTAAACAGTTAAAAGTTGAATGTACTGCTATACTACATAGCGGATAGCATAAGAATCTTTTTAAGCACCTTTAGTATATTATAATTAACTCTTATTGACCAAGTGACAACTGACTGTTCAACAGTATAAATAAATGCTAGTTCAATGAGTTTCAAAAATAAGAAGCAGCTGTGGTGCGCTTACTTTTTGAACTGTATATTACATCAGGGTGTCCCAAAATAAAAGAGATTAAAATGTTAAGCTCTCACCCCATAGATTTTTTCCATTGCCTTTTTTATTTAAAACAAAATTTTATTTAAAACTATCTCAAAGCCCATGAAGATTTCCGTGTACATATATTACATAGGGAAAAAAACACTTTTTCGTAGAAATGGTATAGAATTCTTGAAAATCAATATTTTTACTCTGTTTCTCTGCAGGAGACTTTCAATAAAAAAACTCAATTGTTTATTTTACCATTTTTTAATACTAACTATTTATTGCTTTTTTTGAGGTTTTTGGGAGTTGTATAAAAAGTAGTTAGTATTGAAAAAAGTTAAATAAATAATTAAGTATTGTTACTGGATGTCTCCTAAAGAGAAACAGAGTTCTCCGATCGAAACATATTGCTTTTCAAAAATTCTATATCATTTATACGAAAAAGAGATTTTCCCCATATAAAATGCATGGAAAACTTCGTGAGCTTTGAGGCAGTTCTAAATATAATTTTCTTTAAGAAAAATATATAGCTATTCTTTTTCCATTTAAAGAAATTTCAGAGGGTGAAGGCTTAGAATTTTAAAGGGTTTTTGGGCCACCCTAATGTACAGTATATGCGTGCTGGCATGGCGCAAGGCAAGCACAAAGCCGTCGACTCTTTTCTATAAAAAGAAGCGACTTTGATATAGAATGTGTATAATTTAGAGCGAAGAATTTGTTTAAAAAATATATCACTATTTTCAAAAGAAAATAAAATTTTAATAGAATCATAAAAATATATTGACTAAACTATACACATTTCATCGTGTTTGAGCAGTGAAGATTTCATTGTAGAACTGGTTTAACGGGGATATACCCCCTGTGGAGCATCATCTCTGAGGACGAAACCTTGAAAAAGTCATTGATGCCATTTTCAAAAAATTAACCATAAAGAATTTATGCTTTCCATCACATGCATTTGACTTGCAAGGCGTAAGGTGTCGATTTTCAACGGGGGTAGTCCAGCTTTCTTCGTACTTGTAAGTTTTTTTCCCTCACTACAGGACTTTAATTACAATTTCCTTAAAAGCTAAGGAAAATAGACTAGAAATTCGCACTAATAGCTCACAGCGGCAAAGTCAGGAATGGAACCTGCATATTTTTTTCGGAACTCTCGAAACCTGCTCCACCCCTTTTTACTAAAATATAGAGGTATACATACATACATATGTACATACATACATATATGGAATTAAGTTCCATCATTTTGACATGGTTTTCTTTCAGCGTGTGCCAATCTATCGCTCGAACCGGCAATACGCCAAAAACTAATAGCACCAACACGCCCATTACCCACCCACCTGCCTCTCTTGGCACACTCTCGGCTGCTGTTTCATTTCAATTTTCACCTCACCAAGAATATCTTAGCCATTAGCAGCGTTTATAAACAAATTGTTGCTCAAAAGCACAAAAGAAAAAAAAGCGAAAAATAATAAATTCTTTAAAATAATTTCTTCCGTCTAAGATTGTGTTATTTTTATGTACTTTACTTCCAAGAATTGTTTATAGTTCGCTGCGCGTTAGACACAAATGATTTTAATCAGAAAACCTAAACACCAGCGAAAAAAAAGTTGAGTAACATTAAAGAAATGTTGTACATACTACGCAGTTTCAAAACACATTTAGGTTCTTTCCAAAATCGTACGAGTGTGTATCTAAGTAGTTTGCATATTTCTTCTGGTTTTAAATTTTTCTCTCCCTTTTAGCCTCATTTTGCATTGCCACATGTTGCAAATTAAGTTTCTATGCAAATCGGCAGCATGAAGTTAAGCGTAATGCCGAAAATCTGTTTTCATTTTTGGTAGTTTACTTGTAAAGGCTCTTTAGCTTACTGCAAGACATGTGTTTTTGCTTGTGGTTTTTATTTTTTAGGGATAAAAATATACGCTCATATATTTTGTTTTTAACTTCTTCAATGCCACATATAGAAGTGTTGATTATTAAATACCAAGAAGAAGGGTCTTTGAAGATCATTCTATATTTTTCATACTCTATTCGTTTGGTTGAACTTTTTTTTTTTTGCTAAAGAATCATGAAAGGCTTCGAAAAGGACAGAAAAGCTACCAGTTAAAATACCACTCAATCCAGTAAAAAATCTGACCGAAATTAACTTATACCAAAACTGCATAAAAGTATTGTCTTGAAACGCTATTTGAATATGAGAATCTTTGGGTCTTGTGGAACTTTCAAAATTTTTAATGTACAACTCTGCCAATATTACAATCAGTTTTCCTGATTACCAATTTCTTAATTTATCATCTTTTTCTCTTTCAGATGTTGAAGAATTATCAACAAAATTGATGGCAAAATTAGCGGAGGTACAAAGTATGGAGGGTGGAACATTTTTCATTGGCAATGCCGATGCATTAGGAGTACCAAGTACTTTCCAGCCGCAGCATGTACTATTACCGGGTAAGTAGTGTGGAAAATATATCTATCGCTGGCTTAGAGTCAAAAGTCGCTAAGTTAAGGTTTTCAAATTTTACAGGAGGGAATAAAAAACTTTCAAACTCATTTTCTTCAAGCAAGTTTTTTCAAAAATGTTATTACAAGATTTCGCGTATTCCAAGCTAAAACCGCTTCAAATTAATGAAATTACACAACGCTGACGAAAAAAATGTGTTTTTGCAACTTTTCACTAAATGCACTGAGTGTCCCCGAATACATCGAAAATTGCGTTTGTTCACTTTTAGCATATATATGTCCTTAATAAAATTTAATAAAACAACGAGCGGGAATAATCTAATGATGGCGTAAAGTTGTCAATATGTAGTTTGTAATAAGAGAATGTCATTAGCCGGCCAGAATTTCGGCTTATAGAGAGCTTTTGCATGGATTGCAAGAAAAAAAGGAATACCTACTCAATAATTTTGTGTGTCTTTATACAGAGGAAGGTGTGGAAGTTTTTTGTTCTTCGCGCTTAGGTGTTTACTATCAATACAAATAAATCGGTATAACTACACGCCTGAATCTATACATAAATTCTTAAACGCACATCAACAGTTGAATTCTAGGTAAAATGGTTGAAAGTCGTTTGTAAGACAATATAAGGACAGTAGGCAAAATAGTTTGAAAGATTTTGATTATTCTGGCAAGAAATTCTTACAAAAAAAGCTCCCTTGCCAAGTTTCCCGGTTAAAAGCTCTAACAGTCGCAATGAGCGAGTGAGCAGAGTGTTGGCTATTCGAGAGACCCGAGTTCGAGTCATCGGGGAATTTTGGTTCATTTTTTTAAGTCTTTTGTTTTAATTACATTTTCTTTTTATTTTTATATTTAATTGGTTTAGAAAGAAAAACTATACATTTTTTAATTACTTGAATTTTAGAAACTTTTTTTATGCTTTTATTTTTATTTTTTATTAATTTTAGTTTTAAATATTACTGTTTTTAAAATAGTTTTTTTAATTTTTAGAAACTTATACATTTTACTTTGTTTAGTTTAATTTTCTTTAATTTCATTTAATTTATTATCTTATTGTATTTAAATTTGTTTACTTTAAAGTTCTTTTAATTTTATTTTAACAACATTTTTTTTAATTTAATTTAATTTTTAGAAGCTTATTTTATTTTGTCTTATTTTCATAACATTTTTTTAAATTTAATTTACTTTTAATTTTCAAAATATATTATTTAAAATATATATATATTTCTTAATTTCATTTAATGTTTAGAAACATGTTTCGTTTCTTTAATCAGTTTTTCCTTTTATTTTTATTTAATTTTCTTTTAATTTTTAGATTTTAATGTTAAAAAAACATATATTTAATTGAATTTCTAGAAACGTATGCTTTTAAATAATTTTTTTTCTAATGCTTTTTTTCTTTTCAATTTGATTTTAATTTTTAGTTTTTATTGTTTTAAAACGAAAAACATTTCTTTTTAATTTCATTTAATTTTTAGAAAACTTATTTCTAAAAGAGAAAGAGAATAACGATAAGACCTCCTGGTTGGCACCTCTTTCCATTAGTCTTTCGACTATTGTCTTTTGAAAGACTGCGGTAAGCAGTGTGGCCAGATTTCTTTTTCTTCAAAAACTCTAAATTTCCGGAAAAACTATATTTTCAACCAAAAAATTGTAAAATTTGAAAACGGACAATGTAAATGTAAATTCCAACTGAAACTATTTGTTTGAAATGAGAAAACGCTTCTCCTTTATCGTCCACTTTTATCGTACAAATTTCATTACAAAAAAAAAAAAGAAAAACTCAAATTCATTCGTTCAATTTGGGAATGTTGAAACTAGGATCTAATTTAAACACCTAAGTTAAAACTGTCAACATTGGTAGTGAGTTGAAAGACAGTTGGCAGGTTTGCCCCGTTAGGGGAGCTGTGAAACTGTTGAGTTTCATTATGGCTTTAAAGCTACGGGGTCCTGTGGTGAGTTTTGAGGGCACAATAGAGCCAAGTGTGTATCCGTTATACCTATCTATGTATCCAAGCATCATTGCCCTACTTAGGCGCTGCTTTTTGTCATTTTGAAAGCAGTTGTCAAAAACTAAAACATTAATGGCCTTATTCATAAAAAGATCATTAGTTTTAAAAAGTTGTATAAAGTGACATTTTCATACAAATTTTGGTGCAGTTCTTTAATTATTTTATTTTTAACCCTTATATGGCCAAAACCTTACCAATAATTCCAAGTATGTACTATGTGCCAGTTCTATCAATAAGTTGGCTTTGGAGCGTAGTCTAGAAAAATGCGCCCTGCGTAGGTAGTTAATATATTTTTCAACTTTGCTCTCTTTCGCCTTCAACGCCTTACGCAGCGGGATGTTAAGGACAATGTACACGCCACTTGAGTTTGACAATGAACAATAATCATCTCATTTTTTGATTTTCCTTACTAAATATTTGGTTTATCCCAAGGAGGCTCACATGGTCTCAAGATTGTATTGTTACATGTAATGCGGCATGACCGTTGAAGTACTGAGCGTGTACAATATGGGTACATGCATACACATTAGGGTGGTCCAAAATAAGAAAAGTCTGAATTTTAATGCTCTCATCTCCTAGGATATTTCTGTATCGAAAAAATATACCCTATATTTTTATTTTGAAATCAAAAAATATTTAGAGTGCGCTCAAAGCGCTCAAAATTTTCCATTTTTATATGGCAAAAAACACTTTTCGTAGAAACGGTATAGAATTCTTAATAATCATCTTATTTAAAATAGGGGTCGATTTTTCGATACAGAACAATCCTAGTGGATGAGAGCATAAAAATTCCGACTTCCGGCACATACATAAGTAGAATCGAATGTCGAGATTAATTGTTTTTGGTGTTTATTTTATGAATGACATTAGTTAGAGAACACCCGCTGTTCTGGGTTTGAAATCCTTCCTTGCCTTATTAGCTGAAGGTGTTACTGAAATCTAAAAGAGTGAGTGCATTTAATGCATTTGTGTCTTGGACATACATACTACATATGTACGAATGTCTGCAACTCGAGAAGAATAGAACATGAAAAGTGTTAAAATTTGCATTGAAATGTGTGTTGATGAAATGAAATGAAAGGAGCAGAGCCTAACAAGATTCGAATAACTAAAAGTCAAGAAACTTCACTTAACACAAATGAATTAAAGAAGTCTATAAATAAATATGGACAAAGTATTATATGACAATTATGATGTGCGGCTGCCATACGAGACACGTCGCCAGACGCATCCATTTGCGTGCGCCAGACTTATGTATGTCTCCGCGAACTATCAGCAGTTTTTCATCTCACTTTTTCGACTATTTTCCCCTTAGTACTGGAGTCACAGAAATAAATAAAATAAAAAAAAACGAATGCCAAGCTATTAAGAAATATGCAATTCATAAGTAAACTCGTTCCAGGCAACTTTGTAAAGTGTTTTGTAAGTTATTTTCAGTGTCCGCTAATAAATTCGAACCCCTTTTAAAACATAAGTGTGAATGCGAAAAGCTTTTTCATGTGATTTATTAAGCTGTTGACGCGCCAACATCTTAATAAAATAATCCTTAAATGAAATTAAAAAATAACAGTATCTAGGTTTAAGGTAAAAAATAAAAAATAAAAAATGGTGATGTGCTCGTGCAGGCATTTAATAACTTTTATTGGGCGTCTCCTACAAACATGTGTCGCCACACGTTACCCAGTTGCATATACATATATATAGTATATATGTACATACAGTGCCGGCCACTTGAATAGCAGCCTCTTTTGATACACCGTATTTACAGTTTGGTTTATTTAATATTCATAAATTTAAAAAAAAAGTAGCACAAAAACCAAGTAAATCCGATTTTCAAACTTTATACGAAATTTATCATAATTTTGTATAAACAAAAATAGTATTATAACAATAATGTAAACAATATAATAAATATATAAACAAAAGCGAAATTGTGAACTATGGGAATCAAAAGCGGGCGCTATTCAAGTGGCCGGCACTGTACATACATATGTATGTATGCAAGTAAGTCCTCGACTCCTTGGTAATTGCATGCGAACTGCTGCCGCAATTTTCTCCGTTTGACAATTTTACGCTCTTCTTCCGCATTTACAAATTTTGGACGATCAACAATTTTTTGTTTGCCGATCACGTTCGACCCATTGTGACAGACGTGCAGCACATCAGTCAGTCGCAAAGTAAAGCACTCTTCGTTTTTTAAGCCATTTGTTTGTTGCATTTTTACCACGGGCTTTTATCTTTTTATTGGTCATTGCAACATTAAAATTCTGTGTTGCGCTTTTTTGCAATAATGTTGATGACAGTCACATGTCACATAGGTTTGACAATTGTATGTCAGAAAAATTCGTGCTTGTAAAAATGCCAAATTTTTTGTCAAGATTATAAGTCAATCGGTGATTTACCAAAGGGAATAAGTCAACATTTTTTTCGATATGGCAATTTAGTTGCAGTTCAGTTCAAACACGAATTAACCAATTCAAGTAATGTTACTTTCTGAAACAAGTTGCTTTTGACTTAATTATAGTGACAAATACAAAATACTATATGGAAAAAGAAATTTTAGTTTTTTGGATAGGTTGTTGAATTGTCTTCAGTATTATCTTTCAATGTTTCTTGCAATGTCCCAAGAAAACTTTTTTTATAGCTCCGAAAATTATTTGTATTCGACAAATTTCCTATGCCTGATCGCAACTTTTGTTGTACGTTAGTAATTGTCTTAAGCACGAAATCGTATTCTTCTTCTTCGGTTTGGGTCGAGACCAAAAAACTTCGCCAGTTGCCTCTCTCATTTGCGGATTAGCGCCAATCGTTCATCCCAAGTGCGGGCATGTCTATTTAGTCAAACCATACTGGCACACGCGTGAACTGTTTTAACAGAAAGTAGTTAATGAAAAATCTGGAGTACTTATTACTTGATATACTAAAGTCCTCTTTCAAATTTCGTGCTGAAAGATGTTCGTTTTTATAGGTGAGGCCAATTTCATTAAAAGTATATATTTGCCGTTTTTCTGTTTTTTATTAATGTTCGCCAGAGCTTCTCCTCCAATCTGTGGTATTTATTGTCTTGCTGTTGTCACACAAATGGCAGGTGTTAAAGGTTTACGCCGCCTCCGAACGACAGATGGTCTTAGGCATAATTTCGTCAACTCGGCCATAGAAACTCATAGATTTTTATATGAAATAAATGGTTGAGATCTCGAGCTGACTTACAAGACCTGAAACTCTGGTCATTCAATACAAAAGGAGAAGAAGTAGTAAAGAATCGATCACATAAGGCCTATTGCTTCAAAAGATAAGAAGTGAGGGCTCATGAAAGGCCAGTTTTTTTTCTCTTTCCATTCCCAGGAAGCTAGTGAACAAAAATTCTGGTCGCCTGCGATTCAGTTCTAAAAGGTTCCCCAGCAGATGACTAAGTCTAAATTGATCATTTTATTAAATATTTTACGAGTATTATGTGCAAATTTTTCTTAGTAGGTATGTGTATGAATGCATTATATGTAAATTAAGAAATTATAATACTTCGCGAGAATACGTGTTGTTCATCTATTAAAGATTGTATGTTGTATGTACATATATATATATGTATTTCCTTTGTTCTAATTACTCTCCATTTTATTCTCTTTCCAGAAAAACCGGCAAAACACCATCATGAACGGCGTATCTTAAAAACATTACAACCCGGTAATGTTTATATTGAGGAAAGTAGTTCAAAGGGTTGAGCGATTTAAGCTCATAAACTCAAACTAAAGTGGAAATGTATCTGGAACTTATGTAGTCAACGCAACGACTACTTTAGCTAAGAGGGTGGTACAATTAAAAAAATATATAGTACATATATGTATATGTATGTAGATGAAACAAATTTCGAGAAATTTTTCTTTTTTGGTGAGTGAAAGTAGCTACTACTTATATAAAAAAGGAAAATCAAACAATGTTTGACAAGTAATTATAACTTTGACTAGCTTTCATAAATGGAAGCATGGGTGGGGTATGACATGCGCTACATACAAATTATAAATGGAACTTGGAAAGAAAAAATGGAAAAGAAAATAATACAAATATATGTCTGTATGTATATTCAATGACGTTATTCGGTTAGCAATAACAATTTTCAATACCTTTAACGTGTGTAAATGTACAAAAATGTGTAGGTATTTAATCACACATATGTACATAGGCTATGCCCAGTGGGAAGAGTGTGACTGACGAAACATTATTAGAGGTTTTCAATAAGTTCGGCTCGATCTTGAAATGGAATATAGCAAATTATGTTTGAGGCGGCCGACACTCGACAGGATTAAGGTTCGACCCCTGGTCCGAGCAACATAAAAAAAAACGTTTTGTTAATAGCAGTCGCCCCTCGACCAGCTTTTTCTGGCATAAAAAAAGCTTCTCGTAGAAACCAATCTGGTGTTTGGGCCGACGTAAAGCAGTAAAACGGTGTGAAATGCCATTTATTTTATATAAATATTATATTGTTACAACTTCTCACGTTGGTAAGGATCCGAGTGATCTGATTTTCAATAATTCTGCCGCGCTGCTCCGACTGAATTTTTGCCAATGGGCGGGGTTATGTTTGCATTAAAAGATTCGCTCGATTGCCGCTTATTGGCATAAAGCTACGATCTTCGAAAATCCCCCAATAAAAAGTCTAACGGGTTAAATCGCATTATTTTTGGTGGCGAATTCACGTCACCTCTACGAGAGTTAACCATAGAATGTCTATCGTTCGCATAGAATGTCTATCGTTCTACGGGTTTAATATCCCTATAATTTAATTTGAACCAAAATAAATCGTTTATCATGGTTCTGCAGCGCTCGCGGTTGGTCGGTCGGAAGAACAAACAAACACAAAGTTGAAAAAATTCACGATTCACTTTTCCTGCTGGGTTTTAAGAGTATCATGACTACATGCTTATAGTACATACATTCTATATGTATATTAGGGTGCAAGACTTTCCACAAAAAAAAAAAATCGGTACTGGTTTTTCATCGAAATTATAAAAATTGTTATATTCTAAGACTTTCGCCAAAATATTTTAGAAAAATATTAATATTATTTTAACATGCTTACAATCTGCTATTTTTAGATATCAGGTGATAAATTTTTTAAAAATTAATTTTATTTATAAAAACTCCATTTTCTGAGGTATTTTCAAATCAATCCTGCTCACATAAATCTTAACCATTTTCCGAAATGTTTTGGCGAAAGTCTTAAAATATAATACATTTTATAATTCAGGCGGAAACCCGCGATTTTTTTTTTGTTTGGTGCCACACCCTAATACAACTTTTAATATGTGTGAATATAAAATTTTATGACTTATGTAACGGAACTATGTACTCGTTTAATCATAACTCTAGGTATACATAAATGCATAAATACATAAACTTATTTTGAATATAATAGTTATTTTCTTATTACATACTCATACATAATAATATGTACTTTGTTGTTGACTTGTTGTAAAATAATTTTTGTTTTATTTAAATAAACTTAAATATCTTTTTTTTCTAAATTATGCTAAAACACAAGCAAGCGGTAACTAATACTCATTAAATGCAACGAATTTAAGTCAATTGATAAGGTTTCTAAAAAGAAAAAGGTATAAAGAAGTAAGCTTAAAATAAAAGTATGTTGAAGGCTATTAAGAAATTTTAGAATACTGTATGTAAATATGTATGCTTAATATTGATAACTAACATAAACACTTATAACTACTTACATACATTTATATATGTAAGCAAGTGTATGCAATTGAAAATATATTCTCGTATAAATTTTACTTAATGTAAATACATACTATCTAAATGAATGTTTTTAATGCTTAATTTGTCTGTAGGTGGCAAATTAAAACTAAGTATATCAGCAACATATCCAGTACCGTTAATTTTCTATTAGCATTTGCAATAAAATGCACAATTTGCTTTTAATTATTCGCCGTTAAAAAAAAAAAAAAACAACTGCGAAAACGTGCGCACTTTAGTTTTTCCAAATATTATTTTATGTATTTGTACTCGTACTCCTGCATTTGTGTGTTTTACAAAAACAAAAATAAAAAAACGAAACAATTATTTTAAAATTCTTTTAAATAATTTTAGTTTTAATTTAAGTTTATATGCAATTGATCGTTAAACGATTTTTGGCCTGCTTGGTGTTTTAACACTTACCGGTACTTGTTATTGTACAAGTACCTATTTGTATCGTTGCACTATAGTGTATGCATATTCATATTCATATTAGATCGATTAAATGTATGTGTAAGTAAATACGATGGATGTAATTTTATGTAAATGTTTAAGGAGCAGTCGTATGAATAAGAGCGGGCAAAATGGTCAATGGCATAAAGTGTGTAATAAAATTTATTTTGAAGCAAAAGAATTGTGAGTTTTTATTTATGAACCTTCGCAAGCCATTTGACACTTACTAGGAAAATATCAATAGAAATACATATCAGCAACTATGGGTCCATTGAGGAGATAACACTCGAAGCACATTTAGTTGTAATTGGCTGCATTTGGCTGCACTTCTCGTTGAAAATGTTATTTTATTCTACCGTAGCCTATTTCGCGCAAATTTTTGTCTTAACGGAGTCAGACCTGGGCATTCGCACAGCAAAACCAAATACTGAAAATCTAAAAATTTGGAAAATCGAAAACTGTATTATTTCGAAGTCGCGTGAAAAGATCCAATTATGTGCTCGAAAACAATATGGAATTCTCTACAACATTCATCTAATTTCATGACCTGGCGAATCTAGCTAGCATCTACATTTCGAAGTAAATTTTTTGATAAAAAATAGAAAAATATCAACTTAGTTATAAATACCTTCACTCGAACAATCCACGACACTTAAAGAATTGATTTCAGTAGAAAATGAAACACTTGCTTTAATGGGTTCACCGCCAAACACAACTATGTAAACTGATCAGTCGATATCACGCCGATTCCAGTATTTTTTTGGAAATGTACCGTTTGCAGAGAGGAGGGGTAAATAAATTATGTAGAATTTATATTTATGACTTTTGCTTTTCCCTCTCTAAGTACGACCTTTTTTTTTTAATTAACTGTCACCCCGACTTTTTTCCACCTTCCTTCATGAAGTCGAAACACTGTGCGGCACCACCGCTGCAGATTTACCCGAACAAGCTCCCATTTTCGACAATTCGTCTTCTCTCTCGTTGCCATCTATGTTACTGAAGCCGGAAACGCAGACAAGAGAGATGGACATTTACTGAGTACCCGGCATCGATGCCTAACTGAGGACAAGTAATGGCATTTGATTCCGCTCTCGATACTTTTTCTATTGAAGTATGCATAACATTTAAGATTGCGTGACATTGGCGGTAAGGTGTGAGGGCTTCTGCTGCATTACTTTTCATCAACGTAAGAATGTCGCTCTTTCTTCATTACCTCTAGCATAGCATTACGCTCAAAAGAGTAATTCGGTAATTAAGCACTAGATTACTTTTTACCAAAAGGTGATGCAGATTATGTGATATATAGAAATGTCTAGCAAAACGTTTTTATCAAAATGAAATGCATATAAAATAATGCGATTGGCGATTGCATTATTTTGGAGTCGACTCTGGAGTTGGTGGCGTTTTAATGCAATCGCATTTTCGCTGCTCATGCTTATAACAGGCAATCATTAAAAAGTCGATAAAGCAGACCGGCCGTCAATTTTTGGAGTGTTGAACAATGATCCCTCCATTTCTCCATTGTACTCTTGATATCGGTTACCAATCTTCAATCTCTCCCTTAAAAAAAAAAAGAGTTTCGACCTTGAAACCCTTCGATTGCTTCCCTTTATTCTTGCTCGCAGATCTATTTGCTTCCCATTTTTCTTTTTTTTAGCGGTCATCTCTCTTTCTTGCCTCTTCTGATTTTGTTGTTCATTATTATAATGGCGCCGCTGCAATATTTTATAGTCATTGCAATGCAATAATTTATTGTCACGCCATTAAAAAAACATTCAAGTCAGAATGAAATACCTACCGCATATTTTCTCGAAATTACCCACCTATGTACATCACTTCCATGACATTTACATACATAATAGCTTACTATATGGACTTTTGAAAAACAATTAAATCGAGTTTGGCCATTTTTTCTATAAGATACAAAATCTTTGGGTTGCTATACAATATTTAAAATATTAACTGCTCGTAGATGCAGCTTTAGATGCTTACCTGTTAAAAAGTTATTTAAAAGAAAAAAGTTTTCCAAGGAAGTTTATTGTTTCTCCGCTAAAATTAAAAGTTTTAAAATCACTTAAGTTATTTTCTTAAAAGCCTACAGATACTTATAGCATTTATGCACACATGTATCTAAAAAAAATACTTCTTATTGTCCCATAACTATTCAATACCTGGTCGATCGCATGCCCCGCATGACAACGCTGCACAGTGGTTCATATGTATCATGTAGAGTTAATTTTTCACTCAATTTGATAAGTTTTTCTTTTTAACCGACAGCTAATAAAATTTGCTGTCCCCGATTTTCGAATTTTTGTTTGTTTGCATTAAATTTTTAATGCAAACTGCAGAAAAAGTAGAAATTTTGAAAAAAATCGATTCTCCTGTTCAAGTTAATAAATGTTACATAAAAAACTAGTTGGAAACAATTGTAGGGTTTCCCCAAAATTAAAAAAATATCACAAGAAAAATTTGATGTTATAGATAAAAAAAAATTTCACCAAAATTAAAAAAAGAAAAGT